ACATTCTAATAGTTGAGGTTAAACACTGTCTGCTAATGTTCTTTGTGTGTTTTTGAGCCAGTTGAAACTGTTTGATTTCCTCCCAAAGTCAGATTATGCCTTTGATACAGACGTCGCCCCCACAAGTTTGTCGAGTGTGGCAAACTTCGCAGTGCTAGCAGCGGTGGCCTTCTTCCTTGATAGTTAACATCCTCACACCTTTACAGAAAACAGTTAGACATTGAGTTGGGTGGTTATGTGCCAGTTTACTTGGACATAGCTTTCTGTCCATTTTATGGATGTGGGCACCGCAGAGTCGTGTTGGTTAGTGGCCATTGGTTCTTTATCTCGTCATGTCACAGAGAGAGGGAAAGAGAGAGAGAGAGAGAGGGATGCTGCAATCTGATGGGGCTGAAGATCTGGCAAGTAGCGGGTGGCTCCATAACATCTGAGAAACAGCCAGAATTGAATGATTAACCCTTTATAACCCAAGAATCATACAGGCCACCTACACCAGGAACTATTTGAATTTTCTCTCCAGCCCAAAGGTTGAGGAGTTACAGTAACGTGAATTGCACATGGTAACATGTAGGTGGAGCTGATTTTTCTGTCTTTGTTCAGACAGTAGTACCTTATGAGTGCTTTGTGCTGCTTCCATAAAACAAGTGTCCCCATAAACAGGGGTGCACATTCGCTGTCAAAATAAAAGATGCGCACCAGATAAGCAACGTGCATTTGCGTACATAAGATTTTCTGGAGGAGGACAGACATTTGTTTAGAACTCTTAAAGATGTCGAAGAAGCAAGCTCCTTTAAGCAATTACTTTGGTGCTCCTCCACCTCCAAAGACATGTCAGAAGGAGTCCGAACCGGAAAAGAAGCACGTATTATCCGAAAAGTGGTTGCACCTGTGGACCACTTATGTGCACCCCTGCCCGTAAAGCTCATTTTCTGTTTTTTCTGAAACTGTTTTAATTTTGCAATTGTAAAATGAGCCCGGCGCCGGACTGATGGTTTAAAAAAACAAAACCAAAAACAAAGGGGTTAACTCACAGTGGCTAATTGTCACTCCCATAATTATCTATTATATTAGACTAACTTTTGTCCAGTATCTGAGTTAAACAGTCATTTGTGTATCGATTTCTCCTTTACATATTTAACCCTGATCTTTCTGCAGGTGTTCCACTGTGTGCACTTTGAGTGTCCGGCACAGCTGGACACCGAGGTCAGTGAAGGCAGCCCGGGTTTGGATTCTTCTGATTCTGGAGCTACTACGCAGCAGCAACAGCAGCAGCAGCAGCGACCTCAACGACCCTCACGCACACACAGCCTGCTGCCCACCCAGCCCTCTTCCTCCTCATCCTCTTCCTCTTCCCATCATTAAGAACGTCCCCTTATTGGAAGATGTTGAGAGGAAGGAGAGTGGTGGGCGGGGGGGACCTCAGAACGCCATTTTGCACAGCCTTCATTGTTCAGACATCACTGCTACAACAACACTGCTAAGGCGATCGTCTTTGTCATAATCCATAGTCCGTCTGTCATATGTGCAACATTAGAGACTGGTGTATTGGTAGCAACAGCATTTAGGGCTCCAGTCTTCCCAGTTTTGAAGCTCAACATTAGATATCATATCTCCTGCGTTTATATGAAGGTACTTTTTAGGAACTAAGACTCAAGTTTTATCCTTTAAAAAAATATGAAGGTGAAATCTTTCTCTAAAGGTTAGGCACACACTGAAACATGTTTATACTGTATTATCAAGGAGCAGTAAGTCCATGGTGGGGGGGTGGTATTTGAATTTTATGCATTAATCGTACAATTAATAATGAAAGTACTGTTGTTAAGCTATTTTTTTAAGAAACTGTCTTAAACTGACTCTACTCACTTTTCATACCATCACAGCTAACAGAGTAGAAGTTAAGTATTTTTTCAAACTTTGGAAGTAAATAGTTCAAAGGTCTGCCAAAGCTGTCGAGCTAATGCATTAGGTGGCATTTCTATCCAAATGGCATTTAATCCAATTATCTATCTGCATATTAAGTAATAGCTGTGGAGTATTTGATAGCAGGCTTTGACACCCAATCTAAACTCTGCAGTGTGACCTTTTTTCTTTTTTTCTTTTTTTTTTATAGCTAAAATTCATACCTCAATAATGACCTCACTAAAACGAACCGAGATTTAACTGAGTGTCTTAATTTAATATTTTAAGCACTTGAATAGGTTGGCGCACACACACGATTAGGGAAATCAATTAGCTTGGGGGGGAAAAATGGGACCAAATTTGGCTGCACTTGGGCTGCTGAAGTTTAACTTTATACTGTAGACACATGAGCAGCTTCCATCTGCACTTTATTTTACTCAAGTATACAGAAATAAGGGTTGTAGCTTGGGTCTTTTGACTGAAGTAGAGTACTGGAGTGCTGGATTTGGTATCTTGCTGTTTATGTTAAATTAATTTAAAATCTTTGTGGTTCTGGGTTGTTTTAGATTTCAGTTCTTTTGCATTTTTTTTAAATGAAGTGTCAGTGCTGTGTTTTCTTTGTGTCCTGATGTTGCACTTTTACATTATTTAAAAAGAAGAAAAAAAATCATTTGTTGGAAACCCTTTGTTTGCTGTTACATAACCTGAAATACCTATCTACCTTAGGTGACTCACTGATGTTTCTGTAAGCTTTCTTTAACCATCCCAATACATGTAAGACAACTACCCATTAGTTTGATAAGTCTTCCTTAATAACTAGAGAACAAAAATAGGGCTTTGTTCAGGTTGTACTCTCCATACCTTATCTAACTTTATGTGTACTTTTACTTATTTTCACCATCAATGTGTGACTGCATCTCACTGCCTCGTGTTCAATGCCTGTTAAAAATGTGATTACGAAAAACAAAAAAAAGCCGATGTTGTTTGTTGATTTTTGTTTCTGTAAGAGGGTGACACACACACCTGCTAGTCAGAATTGCTGCTGTTACACACAGTGAAGCTCTTTGATTCAAGCAATACAATAAGTCCACCTTTGGTTTTAAGTATTGAGAGCTTTTGTTACACACCAAATGGTGCTGATTGATAATCGTGTAACATTAATGGGCCGGGCACTGATGCCCCACCAGCTTTGTGGGCAGTGTTAATGTGTACGGCTGCCTATGAAGATGTTATTGTCATAAAACTTTTTAAAATGTCATGTTTTGAAAATCAAAAGTTTTATTGTCTTGTTTTTGATAGTGAGAAAAGTTGCACTGTTTATTCCAGCTGGTAGGAAACTTACATCCAAGGAGTTTTTACAGCTCGTAGGACCACAGACTCTGTTACTAACCAGTATATACACTACTGTGAAACAGTACAGTCTTGAGACACCCCTCATTTGTTTATTTTGCTATGAAAGTAGGAAATAAAGCAATATAAGGTAAAAACGTAGTTTGTACAATTCTAACCAGCATTAAAGTCAATATTTGGTGTGTCTAATATTTATTCTTTAACACATCCTGAACTCTCTTAGGCAGCTTTCTTGTAATTTCTTTAAGTCTTCAAGAAAATTCTCATGGCTTTTGGGGGGACATTGAAAGTTCTTTCCGTTCTGTTCTCTGTCAAGATGATCATACACTGAGGTCCGGGCTCTGGGAAGGCCATCCCATTACTGATTGGGATCATTGTCATGCTGAAATGTTGAGCCAATCAGTTGTTTTCCAGGTGATATTACATGGATCAAATTCTGACCATATTTTTCTGTGTTTAGAATTTCATCAGTTTTGATAATATCAGCACTGGCTGAAATGCAGCCCCAGGCCATGACAGACTCTCCCTTATGTTTTACATAGGGGGTAATAGATAAATTAATAGATAATGTTGTAACTCTCTCCTGACCTTCCATCACTCCATAAGGCTTGTATAATATGGCATACCTCAGCCTTTTCT